GCAATGTTGTTTTCTGTTAGGCATTCACAGATGAAATTGACCGTTTCTAACAATGGAACGCATGTAAAGAGAGATTCTATACCAAAGAAGAGCATCAATTTTTCTTTCACGTGTAAGTTTTCTATTTGTTGAGCGAGCGCAAATGTGTCACTCAGTGTGACTGGACAATTCTGTACGTACTGGTTCGAGAGGTTCCATAAGCCTAAAAGACAGAATTCTGACTCAGTGGTCAATGGTAATGGTTTCAAGTAGACATAGATTACCACCGTTCATCCGATCGCAACATTCACGACTGTGTCGCATCGCTAGCAATAGCCATTGCGCAAATGATTACGAAGCTCATAATTGTCACTGCCTGAGGAGATTTATCGAAAAGAAATTGCTTCGCAATTTCCTTTTGACATCAGAATGGGTATACTTTATGAAAATGAAGTTGGTTCCCGGATCGCTGGAGCATCTCCCTGATGCTGTTTCCAGCTCAATGTTCACGATTGGCGCTGGACTACGTATCTCAATGGTACACAATTGTTTCATTCTGATTAGAGTGACGACGCGAGGTGTCCCGTGTGATGGGAGTGCCTGATCGCAGTGAACAGATGGGTCAAATGAGGGAACTAGACAACCAATGGAATACGGATGTGACGGAATCGATCATTGGACGCCGATTGTTCGATATTCGTCTGCGGGGCGGTGAATTAGGCATACATTGAATGAGTCAAAGTAGGAACCTCATCGGTCCATAAGGGTCCTTGCTTATGGAATTGCACGGACAACATATACCGAGGTGCTCCGCGAGCCAAACAAGCTGTAAATTTTCCTGAGCTGACTGACCAATAAACGCGTTCCTGAAGGAGTAACTACTGCGACATAGTGTTAGGAAAGTAAATACTTGGAGTTGCCTTCCCCTAGCTCCTGCTAAGAAACTGATATCACTCTTGTATTGATGATGTCATCAAGAATGCTGATGAAACGTCTGCAGCCAAGTTGCCCAGCTCAGCGAACACCACTGCAATTGAACAAATAATTTCGAAGGACAAGAGTAACCCCTCGCAGGGTGGGTATACCGCAAGGTTGCCCGCACGTGCGTGGATTCAAACCAGTGATTTCCGGATTACAAGGCGAGCGCGTAATCCTCCCGAGCTCCGGCCGTTGACTGGAACAAACTGATAAAGCTGACGAGCCAAAAGAGCGCGTTAGTAGGGTACCAACACTAACGAAGAACACTGGACAGTTATGCGTGTGCGTTAACGTGAAACTGTTAAACGAGACTCTGCATGGACAAACTATGCGCTATCGGCGTTTTGCCGCGTTCAGCAAAACCTATGTATTTCACGAATGTAGACCTAACTTCCGTGGTCCTATCGATCGTTGCAACACTGCTGGGGTTTATCGCTGGTTGTGTTTGCCGTTTTGGTTGGAATGATTCGAGTGAAATATTCCAAAAACGGTTGGTTCAAGTGGTTGACGATCTAAATGGGGTCACATTTGTCAGAGACATTGATTTATGGTTCAACTGAAGATGATGACGAAAACCTACGTCGATGCAGCATTGCGTGCAACGGAACATCTAGCTTAAAGGTAAGAAAAATGAACTATGGAAAGATGAGATAAATCCACATATGCATGTGCTAACATAACAGTGGATCAGAGTCGATCCAGGAAAATTAGAGGTGGGATACAAGCCGTTGCACACTCTTTCACAAGCAAACACAAAAACGCTGTATTTGGGAGTCAAGCGCACGCAAGGCGTAGTCCGCTACACACAGAGTGAATGACACCACCCTTTGATCCTAACACGGCCACAAGGACCGTGCACTCCGTCCCCTACAGCAACGACCAACTGTATCCTGGAGCCAGTATGAACGAGGTAGTGTGTGATAGACAGGTAGGCACCTTGTCAACATGCACATCAAGCGCAGCCACATCGGGGATATCAAGCAACAGCTAAGCACCTGAGAGAAAGTTAACAAAGAAAATAAAACGAGTAATGCACAAGGAAACGGTAACATAAATCGTAAACTATTGAGCATATGAAATACATTGTTTACAAACGAATCTGAGATAAGTTCACGAGGTCAGAAAGTATATTTTACGGAAATGCCACAAACACGAAAATGTTATCGAAATTAACTACAACTGCTTTAAGCTACGTGTGTAAGTTTATAGAAGAGAGTACAGGTAGACATTTATATGAGAAAGAAAAGCATTAGGACAAACCTGCAAACCCACCACCTGAAATAAAGAGACTTAGCATGCAAGCACACGATTAGTAAATCGGATGCAGCGTAACTACAAACGATGCGCCGGTTCTAGCTACGTTCTCTGCAGAGCCGGTCGTCGCTTCGGTGATGGCCCCGAGTGGCCTCGCTCATGGCTCACTAGGCCTGCCTGACTCAGGCACTCGCGACCGCATGTTCTACAGCACCATACGCTCGATGTCAATGGAGTACAAACCATCGGCGACTACCGATTCCGCAACTGCCGCTTCTACTCTGCATGTATGAGATCTTTCTCCCGCACTTCGACAACTGCCTTCGTGATTAGATCTCGCCATGCACGCCGATCAACCGCCATCGATTCCCATAAACTGCAATCAAGATTAGAACGTGAGAGACTCACTTTGATCATGTCCCCGTAACGTAATTTTGGTTTCCCAGGATGCCGTTTCCCAATACTCACTTGACCATATAAGAGTTCCTTCGGTATCCGTGTCGAATCCATATGGCTCACATGACCGAGCCACCTCAGGTCTCAGCAAAAGTATGCAGTCCACTGCACACATGCCTCTTAAGCGCAGCACTTCCGTGTCCGCAAATATGTTGCACCAATCGATGCGCAAAATCCGTCGCAAACACTGCTGATGGAACCGCTCGAGATATCGCACATCCCGACGGTACATCGTCCACGTTTCACTGCCGTATAGAAGAACGGACAGTACCATTGATTTGTACACCATCAGCTTCATGCCAATGCTAAGCTGATGACTTGCACACTCAGTACTCTAGCTTCCCGAATACAGCCGCTGCCTTCGACACGCGGATATGCAGCTCACTGTTTGGCTGCTGGTCAGTCGACATCACACTCCCAAGGTAGCAGAAGCGAGAGGTGGTATCCAATACTTCAGCACCAATGCTGATTCGCGGCAATATTGAAGATTGCACCTCCAGTGAATGCTGAAAGAGACAGACAGTTTTGCTTGTGTTGATGGTGAGCCCGAATTTGGCCGCTGCCGTAGCCAGAGCACTAGTCATGTGCTGCAACTCATCCGCGCTGTGTGGAAACAACGCACAGTCGTCAGCAAACAGCAACATACTGATAGTTGTCTCACACACTAGGGTTCTCGCGACGAAACAACGGATGTTCAGCGACCCACCATCAATACAGTGCTAGACACGAACACCGTAAGCACAAGACATCATCGCATGAAGATAAATATTAAACAAAGCAGGAGCTAAGACACAGCCTTGCTTCACACCAGGGACACATGCAAAGTCATCCGAGGTCTCTCCACTCAGCTGCACCCTCGCCCGCATACCACCGTGCAGACAGTCAATTCAAGTTACAAACTTACGCGGCCAACCAAACTTACCCAACACCAGCCAGAATGCTTCGCGATTCACCGTACCAAACGCCTTGGTGAAATCAACAAAAAGCGAGTGCAATGGCCGGTGTCGTTCTCTACACTTCTCCTGCAACTGACGAGCCGCAAACACCATATCTATAGTGCTGCGACCCGAGCAAAATCCCCACTGCTCTTCCGCCACGTATGTCCCGAAACTCGATCAGAGTATTAACGGCGTTACATGATGTTGCTGGTCGACCGGTGCAGATGTGGGTGGATTTATTCTGTGACAACGGGGAAGAGCACTTAAGCACAGAGGAATACTACAGTCATTACTTTGGTATTGATGTACTCACTTCTATGGCCATGGAAGTAATGATCAACGGATTTAGATGTCAATTCGCCTGGTGCGGAATACTGCAGGAGCTGGTTTCCGACAATGTTCCCCAGTTTGCCGGCGCTGCGTTCCAGGTCTTCGCAACCATGTAGGAAATTGTGCACCGAGAAACCAGATCACATGATAGCCGGTCACGTGGAAACGTGAAATCGGTTGTGCGGTAATCCAAGTAACCGTTATCAAAAGCTAGAGTAACTCGCGAGAGCGCATACCTTGTGCTACTGGAAAAAGAGCAACACCCCTTCAAAGGGTATCGGTCTGAGTCCAGTACAGCGCCTATAGAGTGGGCATCTATTACACTTTTACGACCAGTTTCACTACAATGAGACTACAAAAAAGTTTGCGAAGACTAATAACTACTCAGAAACGAGATTACGGCTGCCGTCCCCAGGCACCACTCGAGCTGGAAGATAGGTTCAATCAAGACTTAATGTTCTAGAGCGGTGGAGGAAAGGTGTCGTAATCGTGGAGGTCAGTGCAGGGTCGCGTGAAATCAATATTGGAGGGAGGAATCTTAGAAAAAAACCGAGTGCATTTGAGAGGACACAGGAAACAAAACAGTGGACAAAGAGCGAGGCGGCCTACAGTGTGTAGCAACCATAAAACGGCAGCAGATACAGGGAAGACAGCGCGGAGTGGCCAAAGGTACGGAGTGCATAGCAAGGTAGTCGTAAAGACCAAGAAAAAGGGGGATATGATTAAAGTGCTACGTCGGAGTGACCAGATGGATCGAAGGAGCGAACTAACCAACCAATGAAAAACGAACGTGACTGGATTGGACGCCAAATAGCCGATGTTCGTGTGCGCTGCGCTGTGTTTCCCATACTTTGTCTAGATGAGCCAAGAGGGGGAACACATCGGCCCATAAATGTCGTTGTTTGTGGAAGAGAACGGACATCATATATCGTAGAGTTCTGAGTGAGAAATATGCTGTAATTTTTCCAAAGTTCCGTTTGCTGAATAAACACTAGTCCCTAAACGAAGGACTTGTGCGACTCTCGTAAAATTATTTTGGTAAAAATAAGACAATGACCCATTTACCTTTTGATCAAGGGCCACAGCATCCTCGCAGTCAAGAACAGTTAAATCCGGGATATGAGAAGATGATTGATGAGACCCAAGAAGTGCGGTGGAATCGATTATTTTCTGTATCATTTTTGCACGATCACCGGGGACATAGAGAAAACTGCGCCATAGTCGCCCGGAGATGTTCGAAGGCAATGCAGAGGAATGACGGAATCTTTGAGCAACAATCAAGCAAACCGAGCGAAGAATACGTAGATGAAACTGAAATCGTAATAAACGAATTAAAAAGAGTTGTAAATGCACAATAAAGATAAGCAAATAGCAAGTATGCGCATGTAGGTTCACCGCAAAGAGGCAGCTCCATGATGAGAGGTTGAGTTGATGTATTGGCAATGTCTTCTCGTTGGAAAACGAAGGAACATAGAGGCAGAGAAACACAGAATCCGAGGCGTTTCACGCAACGATAGCTGCAAAAGTTAAGCATGAGTGATTGCCAAATTGAGCAATCACACTGCTGGTACCCCAGCATCACCTTCGCATTACTAAGACACTTTTACTAAGGCGATAGCTTTAGTTGCGTAGCAAGATGGGGCGGTCCGCTCCACGCGGCATTTCTAGTATCGTCGATTTTGTCATACCAAATATAGAGGGCAAAATATCCGGATAAGCTGAGGGTTGAATATTATAATGTAACTCTGTATGACCAACAATACCATTGCGCCATGCATCACACCTGCGCAAACATTCTTCCCAGTGATCTCCCACTTTCATCATATTTACCTGTTTCGCAAACGATATCCGATTTCGTCGAAATACAATGTGTACTTTACCCAGAGTTGAGTTTGTGGCCTTCAGGCGCCTATTCTGCCCTCAGTCAGGTCGAAAATTTTGCCACCGCCCCGGGAGGAAAAATTAGTTGCCACACCACTGGATAGCTCGGATAAGACTTCTGTCGTAGTGCATAAGTAATAAGATTACATCAACTACTGCCGTCAACTAGGAGCATGTCTATCCCAGTTTTACTGTAAAACCAAGTCTAGTATACACGGCACGTCGGAACACTAGTGATAATCGAGTGCGCCCTGGTATCCGAAATTTCACGATGAAATCCATGTGGCAGCTGTGAAAAGCGAGATGAAAGTCCACTACCTGTAATGTGAAATTAGCTGTATTTTTAACGACAAAGGTGCTTTGGTCATTAGGATAAATGTAACATAAAAGTAATTTTTGTTGACACAGATCAGAATCATGGCGGTATATTATCATTCTTTGACAAGTACGGATAAGATGGTGACACGCTGTCTTACAGTTGATAAGCCTCTGCGTTAGATTACTGATTTGCATTTATAGTAGGATACAGCTCGAAAAAGGTCCGTAATTTACTGTGTATTAAGCTAAAACAACCTAGGCTATGGAGAGCACACTTGAGGTAATCGCATATTCGGTAGCTGCTTCTAATACAATAATATAAGGTTAATCTGGTAAATTAGAATTTCCGTAAATAACACCACTGGTTTTCTTAAGGGAAGCCTAACCCCTGTGATGAGTGCAGTACGAGAAAGATGGAAGCAGAGAAAGGTGTCGCAAGGAAAATAGGATTTTCGCCACAGGAAACCCGCTCTGGAGCATGGGATGGAAGTAGTTGAAGTGGCACGAAATAACAATGATTTGCCAGTCTTCTGAATCTCGTTGGATGCATTGAGAAAGCGCAGAAACACACCCTGATGGAGATCGAATCACAGGTTGGTTCCTGGCAAATACAAATAAAGCGCGATACTCAGAGTCCACTACTTGAACACAGTACAGAAGTCAATATATTGAAAGAAACTTGGAACCGAATGGGATGTCATAATTTCAGGTTTTAGAATACAAAACGGTTTTGTAACAGCTTGTATTGTGGCTACGTTTCGTCCTTTGCACAAGGACTTTATCACGCCAAGTGAACTAGTAGATAATTAGCTTGGCTTTTTATAACCAATTAGGAGTCAATTGTAGAATGTAAGGCAACAGCAGTACGCCTGCACGACGCTTTGCTGCCACGCGAGCACCAAGAGTCGCCAGTGGACTATGGATACTGTGAGGTCGCCCGCTCCAAAGCAGGCTCCAGCCAGAGCCGTTATCCGTCAGACTCTCGGCCGACTTATTCATTATCCGAATGGACCTCGAGACCAACTGGAATATTGACGATATGTTGGCGTCGATCGAACGTGTTCGCTACTTCAATTCTGACCTCGGTGATTGAAGTTGAATAAACCAACCGCCGAGCAGTTTATACGTCTGCAGGTCTTAGTTCGGACGAACGCAGATGTGCGAGATCGCGTGGCATCCCCAGCAAGCACAAGACTGTTGACTGTCACGTGACATCGAAACTTAAGTATAAGGTGCTGGCGTATTCTTGATGCATTTTGTTAGAGAAAACATACACAAACATTGTATCAGGAAGGCCACAAAAATGCAATAGACATGTTGGAGCTGTGCAACTTCATGCGTGAGCGTGGGAACGAGTGCGGCACATTCCTGGAGTAGCAGTTTACACTACAAGAGGGCGAAGCACATACCATACCAAGATGTTTCAACTGCCAAATGGATCCGATTGACATGCATATTCCACCAAGTAAAGTGATAACATCAGTAGAATCGAAGACAAGTGCAAGTTCAATCGGCAGAGGTTCAAAGCCGAAATTTGGTAAGCCTACCAGAGCCTACCACAGGGCATATCCACATACAGAACTGACGAACGAAGACATATGGCAGTCATATCGCACACCATTATTGACAGTGATGAACGAAAAGAGCTTGCCGTTGGACCTCACTCTGCTGCACACATGAAGAAAAAGTGCAGGTGGGATTGTGGAATAATTCCCTGGGATCCTGTTCTCTAGCAATCAAAGCCATAAAGTAGGTCGATCAAGCGAATCAAGGCAACTAGTATGTCTAGTAATGCGAAGATGGTAGGAAGGTGGTGATGTGTGAACAGTTGGTGGTGTGTAAAGATTTTTATTCCACACAACCCTATCCGGGAAGGAAACCAGTTCGTTCTACACGGTGTTAGAATTCGCATTTGAGGAGAGTTTGTGAAGCAGAATGGATGCAAATAAGTTAATGGCAACCGAAGTGAGTCATCAACAACATATCAGCTGACGGTGAAAAGTACAACTCAGCTAATGTGCTGCAATAAAAAAGTTAAGAGATTAAACACTACATACTACAAAAGCTATGAAAAACAGTATTGAATAATGTATTGTGGGAGTAAGTAGAAATCGGAAGTTGTGCAAGCTAATCGAGATATGGTCAAAAAGTTAAAAAAAGCATCCTATGAATTGTCAATGCCCTGACTGCTTTTCCCACTCTCACGTGGTATCGTTACAGAAACGTGCAACTTACACTAACCTGGGGCTTAACAATGTCAGATATCACTGAGTAATCGTTCTCGGAATCTAAGACTTAAATGCGTATCCAACAATCCTTTGGACTGCTGCATTGAGTTTGCTTCCTACAAATACACCAGCAAACTGTTCCAAAGATTTCCGCTAGCCGTTCAAAACACAGGGAATGAAGAACCCGCTTCCGATTTGGAACTACAAGCTTGCACTGGTGTCTGCGTGTGCTTCAAGTGGGGCAATGGTCTCAGCATGGAGAAGTTACCCAGATGTGAAATGCGGCAGGTCATGATGAGGTCGACTCGCAACCGGTGATATGCCAGAGTGTACAGTCCCAACCTCTCACACCTGTCCTCGCACAGTAGGCCCCGAAAACTGGAGGTAAGCCTGGTAGCGATGTGTTGGACCCGTTGATTCTTCTGCGCTTCGCCTCGAGTGGTTGGGCAACAGGCGGGCGAGCCGTGCTCTAGCATTGGTCTGATGATGAAGGATAAGAGGATAGTGTCAACCTCTTCAGACTAAATGCAGAAACTGCGTTTAAGCGCCTATATCATGCGCAGTCAGTTTTGGTGCAGCCTGTTCGTATTGTCCACGGACTTTAGATCGCAACGTGAGAGTAGACTGGGGCTTCCACAGAAACTGTGGGATGTAGCAGTTCGGCTGTCACCACCCTTGCCCAGGCTCGTGAATACCGGTTTGGATGGGTTGACCTGGAGACGGATTTCTGCAAACCACATGAATAAACGGTTATGGCCTTGCTGAATCAGGTATCAGTCGTCGGAAGTTCCTATGACTCTCCATATCTTCAGGTCGTATGCAAACAAGGTACACGGCGACCGAAAAAGCTGAGGTAGATCGTTGATATAAATCAGCAACATGTAGACCCCAGCACCGTGCCTTGGGGTTCGCCAATGGTCGAAGGATACCAGTCTGTCAGATGGCTATCGACTAGTGTCTTCCACTTCGTACAACGAAAAACTCGAAGATACACTGGTGCATTGAGCCACCAAGACCGCACCTTGTCAAGCGATTCGCTAAAATCAATGCAAATCACGATGATAGACTTCCCCTAGTTCACTGCTTGCAACCAATCATGCCTCGTCACGAGCAAGCTGGTGATGCATAAACGCCTGACGTGAAACCGTGTCAGAAGAGCTCATGACCGGAATGGCTGTAGCATACTCCTCCTCACAATCTTCTTGACAACCTTCGACAAAATAGATGTTAAACAAATCGGTCTGTAGTTAACTACTTTGTTTGGGTCACCGCTTTTCGGAATTGGCCTTACCACTGGTTAGTTGCAATCAATCTGAAGTGAACCGTCGGATAATTTAGTTGCGGCAAGACGATGGCAAATAAGGAGTTAAGAATCAAGGGGTGGGATCCGTCAGGCCCAGCAGGATTGATGCCATCAAGGTTGGAGAGTAGTTAACGCACCTCTTCTACACTACGATCCATACTGACGAGTTCTGATATAGATGGTGCATGTCGAACTCGGTACAGACACCCGGTCATTTGCAAACACAGACGTGAAGCGCGCCGACAAGGCGGATGCACACTCAGTGCTGGAGGTTAGGGGCTGTCCGTCCGCGTCCTCTATCATTGGTAGGTCACCTGTCGGCTTCATGCACCGCTTCAGGTACGCAAAGATCTTCTTCGAGACGGTCATTGCTGCGTTTGCAAGCTGATTTTCAAAATGTCGATGCTCAATCGTGTTGTCATGGTCACAAATGCTATGCTGCTTTTACAGCCCCCATAGTCGTTGACCGAGTCAGAGTTAAGGATTTTTTCACAGACTGAGGCACCAATGCTAAATCTCATATAATGTAAAAGTATTAGAATGTTGTCGAGGAGGGAAGCTAAAGTGGAAGGATATAAAAACTAACAACACAAAGGTCACTGAGTTCGGCTCTTCGCCATGTCAACAAGTGTATCTAACCAAACGTGTTATTTATCCTTAAGACTCAAGCTCGGCAGCCGGATGGTACAAACAGAAGGTAATTTAGAAGGGAGCGCTTTCATTCTTCTAGATCGACTCATCGTTTATCGTCTCCTCCTCTTCCTCTATCCACACACCATCGCGCAAATAATCCACGTTGCAGAAATCAGTGTGTTGGCATGTGCAACACGCGGCCTCGTGCGCGCAATAATCGTGACGAGCGGCCCACTCGCTCTTCCTGTACCAAATACGCGAAGCCGAACAAACTCATTGCTCATACGGTGTTCCCACCAGAAATGAGCCAAAATGCGAAAGTAAAGATGATCAAAGGAAGGTAGCCCCTTTATGGCAGCCGATCTTATGGGTCAGGTTTCACAACTGTATAGAAGGGTTGAACGAACGGATACATTATAAACTCTGCCCCTCGGCACGTGAGTAAAGTAGCACCGGTGCCACAAGTTGTGGAAAATAGCCAAAGCGCCTAGCGATTTTACTATGCGGTTGGTGATCTTATCTTTGATCCCATGGGCGTTAATATAGCTGCTGAGATACTTGAATTTCTGGAAGATAGCTAGCCAGAGCTATCCTGTTTACTGCACCTGGGCACGTTTGAGAGCTGTCACAGATTAGGTCAATGTCGTCGGTATAATCTAAGTCGAGAAGTTGATAAACCGGAAGCAGCTCTACATGTGCTCACTTAATACTCAGTGAACGCCGTTTCCAGGAATTCGTCAATGAAAAAGTGACAATGGGCAACCTTATCAGACAACGCTAGAGAAATTAAAGGGCAGCGACAATTTGCAATAGGTGCTCACTCTGCCAGAACTATGCGCGTAAAGCGCAGAGTCTCAAAGGGCGCATCGATCCACCGAATCAAAGGAACTTTGATGTCGAGCAACACGACATATGTAGGTCGCCAATAAATATAGCGATGTTACAACAATTTGCAAAATGTGGTTGGGGGTAAGGCAGCCTGTATTTAGACGAAAAGAAGCTTGCTCCTTGTGAATCTGACTTTAACAGGTGACAGTCTTTTTTTGTTCGTCGCAGTCAGCTGACAATTCGGATAAGTCAACTACCTATCCGGAAAAGCACCAGACGGCCGTTTCGCCCTATTGGGGCTCGTCAGTGGTGCGCATCCTTCGGTCCCCTAGTGAGGATCGAACCCATGACTGCTAGTGGCTTGTGCCAACTAGCCCGCTGCTTATGCAACTGAGCCATGGAGGACGGTAGCCGACCACCACGAATTGTTAGTTAACTGCGATATAGCCCGACCCATCCCCCACTGGCACGCAGGCACCTGCCATGCAGATGACAGCGGTTGGCCTTCCGGCGTCAGGACCTCCCGTTTACGGCAGCTATGAATCGACATAGCATTTATGGAATCCGTAAGGGCGAATTTATATTACTTATAAGTAAGGTGACAGTCTATCCGTGGAGAAAAAAGTAAGCCATTTAGAGGCAACTGTGATCAGACTGATTTTTCTATGATTGTCGCATTCCTAGAAAATTGGAACTAAGAAGGAGCGGCTCTAGTCTGTTGGGACCTTTGTCTGCTTCCACAACTACATAAATAAGTTGTGCAAACTATCCACGAGAGCTTGCCCCCTGATTTGAAGAGGCCTGAAAGACGTTCATCTGCTCTTGCACCTTTATTCAATTTCACCATTCTGACCTCAGGTCCAAGCTCAGCACATGATGATGAGTCCAAGAGAATGGTCCAGAGAGAAGAGAGATCAACGGCCGAGAAGGGAGACGGTAACTAGCTAATTAAATAGCAAAACATTTTGACAAGTTGTGGATCGGTTGTCCACTGCCGTCTCGTACGACCTCGCTAACACCAGGTCTCTTGTTTTTTGTCTTCCGTATCAGCGGAATAAGTTCCGATGGTTACCAAGAGCAGCGGCTGTCCACACCTCTGATGTACGGCAAGATCATCAGGCCTCGCGCTCTCTCAGTCGCTAGCACTGAGATCTTTGTGAGTCTCATTGGGTTCTCTTCCAGGCGGAACGCATTGGAGAGCATCCAGGAGTTCCAGAGATTGCATAGACACCCAAGGTGTAGATGGGTAATTTAATTAGCCACATAAAGATATGTCTTCTGATAGTAACATCTAGCGAGTAGGGAAATAGTGAGCTTCAACATTTTTCAGTGAGCGCTTACTCAGCGTAGGTTGATACGCATTTAGATCATCAGGCTTCCCCAGTTGGTAAGTATGTAGGTGCTCGCAGCGTCATTGAGG